GTAGATAGGACAGTGAAGAAGGCGTTTGGTATGCTTGCCTTTATAGGTCAGTGCATTGAGTACAGGAGTTGGGAGGTCATTCTTATGGCTGTACAGCACGTTGGCTAGACCACTTTTGGAATACTGTGTGAAATTCTGGTCACCATGCTACAGGAGGGGTGTTGTGAAACTTGAAAGGGTTCAGAAATGATTTACAAGGATGTTGCTGGGTTTGAGCTATAGGGAGAGGCTGAATAGACTCGGGCTGTTTTCCCTGGAGCGGAGGTTGAGGCGTGGCCTTACAGAAGTTTATAAAATCATGAGGGGCATAGATAGAGTGAATAGCCAAGGTCTTTTCCCCAGGATAGCAGAGTCCAAAACTGGAGGGCAAAGGTTTAAGGTGAGAGAGGAAAGATTTAAAATGGATCTAAGGGGGAACTTTTCACACAGAGGGTGGTGCTTGCATGGAATGAGCTGCCAGAGGAAGTGGTGGAGGCGGGTACAATTATAACATTTAAAAGGCATCTGGATGGGTATATGAATAGGAAGCGTTTAGAGGGATATGGGCCAAATATTGGCAAACGGGACCAGATTAATTTATGATATCTGGTCAGCATGGATGAGTTAGACCAAAGGGTCTGTTTCCATGCTGTACAACTCTTAATGACTCTATGATATGGTGATAATATAATGAGCCTATCTCTTCAATATGTATTGCATATTAGCTGTGAGACATCACACAACAACGTTAAACTTTCCGGGGTTTTCAGTTTGTATTTGCCTTAAATGCCTTCTGAAATGGCCTAACAATTAACTCAGACTCAGGGATGGGCAATAAATGCTGGTCTAGTCGGAGATGCCCACACTCCAGGAAGGAATTAAAGAAAAGTCTCACCTTCAATAGATGGACGGGTTGTTTCCCCTTGCGGAAGAGTCCAGGACCAGAGGGCATCACCTCACAGTAAAGGGTCACCCATTTAAAACAGAGGTGAGGGGGAAGGTTTTTTCTCTTAGAGCGTGCCGAATCCTGTGGAAACCTTTACCACAGACGGCTCTCGAGACTGGGTTGTTAAGTATATTCAAGACTGAGAAAAGGCAGATTTAATCGTGAAGGGGATGAAGAGTGTAAGGGGAAAAGGCAGGAAAGTGGAGTTGAGGATTATCAGATCAGCCATGGTCTCACTGAATGGTGGAGCAGACTTGATGGGCTGAATGGCCTCCTTCTGTTCTTACATGTTATGGTCCATGAGTCAGAAAATTCCGGGTTTGAGTCCAATTCCAGGGCATGAGCTGAAAAGTCTAGACAGACACTCCAGTGCAATACCGAGGGAGTTCTGCACTGGTGAAGGTCTGCCACTTAGATGAGATGTAGCTCCATTTCCCCCTTCCCAGGTAAATGTAAGATTATCCAATTGCACTATTTCAAAAGAGGAATTTTCTCTGATGTCCTTGTTAATATTTAGCCTTTAAACAATATCGCAAGGGCAGATTTATCTGGTCATGATCACATTGCTGTTTGGGGCAGTTTGCTTTGCACAAATGGGTTGCTGTGCTTCCTACGTTGCAACAATGGCTCTATTCTAAAGTACTTCATTGCTTGTAAAACACTTTGGGGCATTGTGAAAGGAATATAAATGCAAGTTTAAACAGTCACCCATCTCCGACCCAACAATCTGTCTCTCTTTCACTGCTTGCCATGAAACAACAGACTGGTTAGCGTTATGTAGAGAGAGTCACAGTTAACTGCAGTTTACAGTAATCAGGGAGTGCACCTCTAATTGTTCACTGCAGAGGAAGCCAGCCAGAAAAAAGTACACATAACTACACCATACACACAGCATTATCAATTGCATTTATCTAGCACCGTCAATGTAGTAAAGGTCTTTCACAGCAAGGATTGTTAAATGAAATTTTGATACTGAGCCACATTAGGCAATGGAGACAGGTGACCACATGTTCAGTCAAGGCAAAGACACTCACACTCACACTCACACTCACACTCACACTCACACTCACACT